TTGAGGCACTTCTACCTGATTTCATTTAATGAAATTCTCTATCTTTATTACCATTACTAATTACTCTCTTGACCATGTTTCTATGCTGTCATAATATTCCTTTCGGGTCAAAGATGGAATTATTTCACATGCTTTATTTCTTAAAAGTTTCAAACATAACAATGAATGCATGGATCTAATCTAAAATCACAGAAGATGATGCGAATTGGTTCCACAGAAACCATAGACTCTCCTAATGGTTACCCTTTGGATGAAATGAATGGGCAAGTATTGTCTTATTTTGTTATAAAAGGAGGCCATTGGTTCCACTTTAATGCATCTCTCGCTTCTCAACAATGGCTCCTAAAGCTTCAATCACTAGGAAAGCATCAAGGAGAACCAGAGCTCGTCTTGAAGGAGACGAACAAGGCGATCATTATCTCGGCAACAATCCACATGATCCTTTGGATATCTCATCTGACTCAGAAAGTGAAGACTATGATGAACTCATCAAAATGAGTGCTGATAAAGATGCCAGATCATTTGATCATAATGAGGAACCCCCTCTAATTGTTAGAAAGGGTTTTCTATCTCTGGACACTTGGAATAACCCCACTATGGACAAGGACCTTCGGGAGTTCTATCGAACCTATGACTGCAAGACTGAGCTTGTAGGATACATTGAAGTAGAATCTGATAAGGAAATGCACCTCTCCGATGGACCATCCCGTCCAAATGCTCCTACAACAAAGAAAACTCCTAAGGAGTCCAAGGGAGAAACTAGCAAGACAAGGAAAGGAAAGGCGAAGAAATGAAAATTTCTTTGTTATATGATCAATAATTATCTTTCATGTTCAATAATGCCTTTCTGTCCATCTATGTTTCATGAAATAATTAATGAACATTTTCTGGCATGAAACTCTGACTGTCTGATATTTGTACGCCTTGGAATCAACTCACTGATCTTGGAATTATGATATTCTTGAAAATATCTATTCAAAGTCTTCTACGAGATTAATGGTCAGTTGAAGAAATATATGCCTATTAATTACAGCATTGAATGCTGCGGGCAGTTTTGCATCAAGTATCTCTTCTCATCACATCTATAAAAGGCGGATATATTTCACTCTTCTCTACCATCTCTATCTCCAAAATGTATCCTAAAAAGCCTTTCACTAGAGGAGATTCTCAAAAACAAAGAGAACTCGCCAGAAAAATTAGGGAAGAGCAGGGAGACCTATACCCTGGTAACAGTCATCAAGCACCATTAGAGGTCTCCTCAGACACCGAATCATCACCTCTGTATGATGAAATGGCTGCCTACATTGTTGAGGAACCTGAAGAAGCTCCTGCGGAAGAAGAAGCCCCTCAACAAGAGAAAACCCCCACTGATCTGCCCAACAAGTACTATGACAAGGACTACGTTAATTATCTAAAAGAGAAGCCCAAATATGAGGATGAAGAAGAACCTGCTTCGTCTTCTGACTCTAATTTTCTGCGTACTGGGAAATGGTACAAGAGGATGCGGGTAGAACTTAAGAAGCCGAAAGCTGAACCTTGTGAGCATGAGGAAGAAGGGAGGAAGAAAAATTGATCCTTTGATTATGTATTTCCTTTTATGTATCAACCTCTCGTTTGGATCAATAATATAATCTCGGTCTTTATGTCTTAATTCAGGCTTGCATATGTGTTGAACGAAACTTTAGTTGTTTCGTTTGCACTTACACCAGAGTATCTCTGACCAATCTTGCCTTTCTTGGAAATGAATATATTCTCTTAAGCGTGCTGATTATCTCAGTGACCAGTCATTCGGGGTCACACCTTTTGATGAAATTATCATCTATATAAAGGCTTATCTTGGGAAACATGGCTTCACTCTTCTTAATTAATATCATCATGGACAAAGGGAAAGAGATGTGTCTCACAACGGGGAGTTTGTCTAAGAAAGTTCGATCTAAGAACGACTCTCGTCATGAACTCAACAATTCACTACTGGAAGGATCATCCTCAAATGATGGATCCACCAAGGCCTCGAGCATCTCTCATTTTCTTTCATTTGTGAAGCTTGCACCACAACTCAAAACTGATGAAAAATTCATGGCCATTCATGCTGCTGCTGAAGCTCGAGTTAATGCTGAATTAGATGATATCGAAAAGAGAGGTCTTTCAAGAGACGCTATGGGAACAAACCACGAGACTATTGTGAATGAAGTGTTTGCTTTTGAAGTTCTCAAGAAAGACTGAATTGAGAATGCTCGAAAGCAGAAGGATGCCAAGGAGTGAGAACTCGTGCACTAGAGATGTAGTCACAGTGTCTAATATCTATATCTCGTGTAATAAACATCTCTCGGGTTGTGTCATGTATTCTCGTTATATGTTCCATATAGGTTCACGAGACTTTATTTGTCTCATGGACCTTTCGTTGTGATAAGTAAAGCTTGTTATGTTTCGGTTTTCAAACGTACTCAAGAAGATACAAATCATAAAGATCATCTGAACCGTTAAAACTTTTTCATAATGGACATCGTGTGGCCGAGAAAGGTGGTCCACTACCCCATGATCTCTGTCAGTTGAACTGACGCGCATTTAATGCATACATAGGCACTCGAGTGGTTTTCTCTCTCCTCATTTAATGAGGAATGATCAAAACTGATCTGAGCATGATCTTATCATATCTCTATAACCAGATCAGTTACATATTTTGAAGAATTGGAACCGGTTATATTTCAAAATTCAAATCACCCATCACACAAATGGGTCACCCGTTATTTGTATACCCGAGACCCAAGAAAACTCTACATAAACCATCTTCTTGTCATACTTCATCCCTTTCATTCACCCTGTATCTCACATCTGCCTTCTCACTTGTATTATCTCAAAAACACCTCAAATGGCGAAGTCATCCAAAGCTACTCCCTCCGATGCTGAACCAGAAGTACCATCCACACTGGAGATACCTACCTTTCCCACAGATGATATCACCTTTATTGAATCCCGGACTCCTTTCATCGCCGGTGGAAGCATGTGGGATGCGCATGGATTCCTGGAATATGTCCTTGATCGAGATTTTGGAGAAAAGATCATCACTTTGCTCAAGGAAACCGGTTTGTACAAGTTTGCTGTACATTTGTACACTTTTTGGTTTCCCACGGATGTTGCACAGTTCTATATGAATGCTACTGTTTCCTCGGATGCACTCACTATATCCTCTAGAGTCAACAACCACGAGGTAACAATCACGTCGGAAGATATTAGAGCTGCTTATGAATTTCTTCAGAGAGACGAGTCGTACAAGCCCAATCTTGCATTCTATCATTATGACCAGAATGAATTCTATGGCTCTATCAAGAACAAGCAGGGTCCAGTCCCAGTGCAATCACATGGCCCTTAAAGAAAAAGTGGTTTCGATTGGATTACGAATTCACTGTGGACATTTTCAACAAGGTTGTAGAACACAAGACATCGGGTACAGACGATGTAACAAAGGAGAAGCTCAAAATGCTGCATGCATTTCTCAATGAACACAAGGTGGACTGGTCAAAGATAATCTCAAATAACCTTCTTCATGTCATCACATTCAATAGATCATGCCCCGGTGATATTGCGAAGAAAATGGGCTATGGATTTTTGGTAAGTCACCTTCTTACCACAAAGAAAATTCCTATGAGACCAGGAATTAGGCCTGGACCAAAGGCATGTCACATGCAGCACAAGTCCACGGGCTTTGACAAGCAAAAAGCTCTGGAATTGGGAATTCCTTTGGAGTTAGTCAAATCTAAACGAAAATCCAAAAAGACGAAGGATTCAGAGGACGACCAACCGAAGCCCAAACGACAGAAGAAGGAGAAAAGTTTGTCTCTTGTTGCGATAAAAGAAGTCGCTATCGAGGTACCGCCTTCTGCACCATTAGCAATTCCAGACGAGAATGTAACTCAGACTCCACCCATTCCATCAATGGATCCAGTCATTGTGGAAGATTCTTCTGACGACGATGATAATCTTGTCCTCTCCAATCTCGGACAAAAGGGGCGACTTCGATCTCCGGTTAAAGAAAGATCTGGTTCACTTCTTTAATTTCCTCGAAAGCAGATACACAGCCGAAAGAAGCACATTCCCAGGGGGAAGACAAGACGAAGGAAGTATCTTCTCAAGGGGAAGATAAAACGAAGGAAGTATCTTCTCAAAGGGAAGATAAAACGAAAGAAGTACCTTCCCAGAGGGAAGATAAGACGAAAGAAGCTCCATCACATAAGGAAGATGAAGCAAAGACGAAAGAAGCATCCTCAAAGAAGAAAGCAATGGTGAAAGACGCATCATTAAAGGGGGAAGAAAAGTCAAAATCTTCCAAGAAACGAAAGCACAGATCTTCCTCGGAAGCACATCCTCCGAAAAGCCTCCAACCACAAAAACCCATTCCAGCAGAGCGAATGTCTCCATGTTTGACACAAGAACCTGCTGTTATGGAAACGGAGGTCAATCACTTAAGTCTCCCACAAGAACCTGGTTTACCAGAAGAGACGAGAGAAGTGATTGAAAACACGAATGTTGCTGCCGTTCTTCCTACCGAAAGTTCCCTCCCACAAGAACCTACCCTTGCAGAGCAGGTACCTAATATTTTAACACAAGAACCTGAATCGGTAGTTGAGGACGATAAGGTGATCTCTGAAAAGGCTGTTGGTCCAAAAGCTGTTGTGACACTACCAGAAGCTGTGCCTATTCCTCCATCAAAAGATCAACTACTTTGAGAAGCTATGGAGATTGACTACAACAGAGTCATGCAATGGCAGAAATGGTGCACATCTCCATTAGATACTCTGCATGACACAACTGAAGCAATGAAGGAAGAAGAGAAATTTGCCTTAGAGTGAGTCGGCACGAAAGATGTATATGAAGCGCTGCGTCTTGAGACAATTCGACGAGTGTATTCTTATAAAGTGACCAATTGCATTCTCGGGAAAGATAAGGCACCCATCTGCATAGAACTTAACAAACCTCCTTTGGATCCAACCTTCATTGAAGAAATGAAGGAACTTCGATATGCAATGCTCTTATCTAAAATCAAGACTGACTTAGAAAAATCGCACCAGAATGATCAAAATTGCGATGTCAGTGGATCAAAGGACGACAATGGCAGAGAAATCAATGACGAATCTGATGAAAACAAGGAGGAAGAAAAAGAAGATGAAGAAGACGAAGATACTGATGATGCTGATGCGGATGATGAAAATGATGATGATGACGACGATGCTGATGATGATGATAATCACAATGGGGGTGACCCAAAATATGACAGTGACTCCCCTCTCTTGATTGGCCCGGACTATGGTGCAGCAGTACCCGAAAGATCCTCATCACGCAACTCATCCTCCCGAAGTGATGACAAAAGGGAAGCATCACTCTAGGCTGACGAAGTTTCCAATGCTCAACTTGAAGACTTGTCTCGTGCCATCGTCCCCCATGTTCAACCTATGGATGAAACTCCCATCAAGAGAGAAGATGCAACCCTTCGTGAGGACAAACTGGATGCCTCACCTATCCTGATAAGCTCAGCCAGTGGTGGCAAAACAGATGCACCACTTCAAACAGAATAAATGGATACCTCTCCCACAAATATTGAAGATGAATCTCCACCGTTGTTCCCACATCATGTCATGAACCTCATGAGGGACACTGTTCACACAGCCGAACTTATTCATCGGGAATATTTATCTCTTCGGCAAAGGGACACCCAAACCATGGATGATTTATCTAAAAAGGTGGACCAACTGATGGCTGCTCAAGCTCAGTCTCATCCTCCACCTCAAGCTCAAGCTCAACCACCACCGCAAGCTCCACCCGAACAACACCCTAATGATCTTTTGGCAAAAGAACTTCATGAACTCCATACCTCTGTCAACAAAGTAGCGAGGCAACATCACGAACTCAAGCACTCACATTACAGTCTCAAGGAGCGTGTTGACTTAGCCTGTACGAAGATGGAAACTGCACATGACAACGCATATCAAATGGGCCAGTTCTTGTTCCAAATTCTCGGATATGTGCAAGATACTTTGATTGCAGTTAACAAGTTGTCTTCTCCTCCTACTGCTTGTGCTGATGATGCCAAAAAGGGGGGAAAGAGGAACCCTGATGATAAGTATGATGATCATCTTAGGGATGATACGAGAAATCGCTCCCCATCTCATACACAAAGAGATTCTAAAAAGAGAAGCACGAACCCTCTGCCTCCACCTTCCAAGTCTCGTGATCACCAATATTCTCAATCAAGACATCACTCATCTTGTGGTCATCAACTGTCACAATCCCAACATCACTCTATCAAGCCTCGCCAATCTCTCGGCTCTGAATCCAAATACATTTTCAGTGGCCTGTCTAAGAGACAAAGGACGAACCTCAGACAAAGGCTTATGAAAGATAGAAAAGTTACAATGGATGACGTGGGAAATTTTGTGGATTTTAAACCATATGAAGAAGGGAATGGGAAACGTTTTGAGGGATGCAATGTTCCTGTCTGGATGAAGACAAAGGACAATCACACAAGACAATACCACATAAGCTCTCAAAATGAAAGGATCAAAAGGAAGAACAGAGAGCTGTGGGAGAAACATGAAGAAGAAACTCGTAAAAGAGAACAAGAACTTCAGGAAAGAGAGCGGGTAAAAGAGCTGATTAAAGATCACACGAAAGTAACCAGAAACTCTGAGCATGGAGTTATTTACAATGCAGCTTTCAAAGTACATGCCGAATCTGGAAAAAGTTATACAGAAGGGATGAACTCTTTCGAGCTCATCTCGTGGTGGAAGTTAGGAATTGTTGAGGGAGAAAACATTCTTGAAGCTTACAATAATTACATAAGCCTCAACATAAAGGGAAAATACGAAGATCTGGTTAGGGAGAATCAAATCAAGGTTTTCATAGAACGAATCAATGAAGAAATTGACACCGACAGAATGCTCAAGGAGCAAAGAGAAAGAGACATTCGTGAATACAAGGAGTCCAAGCAGCAGAAGACGAAACTTTTAGAGATGTAAGATGTTTACTTTCTGCCCTCCTTAAACCTTTTGTAAGTTTCACTATCAATATATGAACCTTTCGTTGTTACACATCTCGTGTTACTTGTCTAAGTTGCTTGTCAGTGTCTTGTTTGTTATTTGTATTTATCTAGAAATAACTTGTAAACTCTCAGTAATGGCTGTTTTGAAATAAAGAATCCTTTATAGGACGTTTATCAGCCTTATGAGAAGAGTATAGGTTTTGGCATCATCAAAAAGGGGGAAATTGTTAGGAACACTTGTATTAGGATTTTGATGATACCAATGTAATCTAGAATGTAGACCCTTAACCTTCGTTATTTTTAATCGCTGCTTTCGTTCTAGACGAAAGTTGTCATAACTCGCACTGTAATTCGTGTTAAGCTAGACAAACACACGAAAACGAGTTATGTTCTTTTGTTAGCGCTATCAAGACGAAAAGAGACACAAAGCACGAAGACTGAAGCGTCAACAACGAAAGATCATCAAAGGTTATCAACCACCTCGTAGAGACAGTTATCATTATGACGATTCATCAAGACATTCATTCTCTTCAATAACAAGAAGAATGTCACTACTGTCTGAGTTGACTAACCATCCTAGGAACAAAAGGACCTCAACATGTGGGACACGCATACCAAGGAGCTTTAAATGAAGTTGTACCATCCTTCTGAAGCTAAAGGACAAAACCCTAAGGCTATCCATGCCCTCAACGGATACATGGTACAAACCACATTAATGGAGCATTTAATGCAGCAAGCTCCCTGGTCCTTACTCACTGGATAATATTGGTTTCTACATTGACGATTATCTTTCTAAATAAATATTACTATATTCATACCCTTTTTCTTTTAGAAAAATATAATTGCCGATTATATTTCTAGTGAAATATGAATATATTCATTTCCCTTTTCCTTCATAAAAAGAATTAATATTTATTTCCATTCCTATTTCTTCATAAAAAGGATTAATATTCATTTCTAGTCATAAAAACAACCTGGTACATTTGTAATATTCATTTTCAATCATAAAAACATTCTGACACGTGCTTAATAATCATTTCCTTTTTCGTTTAACCTAATTTTCGGTCTAACCAATAAGTTATTTACTTATTAAGCACAGATTCTTTTTTTTTTTTTTTTTTTTTTTTTTAATTCGAGTTAGTTTTTAATATTAATTTCTTTTTTCATTTGGTCTGATTTCTGTGCCAATTAGTAATAAAATATTAATAACAGATTTTTATGTGTAATATTCATTTCTCTTTTCATTCATAAAAAATTAATATTCATTTCTATATAATTAATAAGTAATATAATTTTTTTAAAAATATAATTCCAGATTATATTTCAAGTGAAATATTAATATATTCATTTCCTTTTCCTTAATAAATAATTAATATAATTGCTGATTATATTTTCAGTGAAATATGAATATATTCATTTCGTTTTTCGTTCAATTTTGTGTGTGTGCGTGTATATATATATATATATATATATATATATATATATATATATATATATATATATATATATATATTAGTTCTCGTTTAATTTTTTTTTCCTTCAGAAATGTGTCTGTTTTAGTTTGTTCTTACCATTTGTTGGTTTCTACATTGCATTAGTTTTTGGATGATAGTGCTAAATTGGATAGTGTTTCGATATGAGGAAGGATGGAGACCGTGTACCATTTGTTTTTTGCCAGCGTATGGTGTTTTTAAAAATATGTGCTTGCGATATTATTGTTGTGTGCACGTGGCAAAACCCGAATTCGTTTACGTCAAAACACTGCCCTAATAGTTGTTTTCTATGTATGTCTGTAAACAAAATGCTCGAAATTAAGTGTTTAGTCTATTGTTTTATCAGTACTTTAGAAGTCTCACTGGTAATACTTCTGATTCAAAGGATCTCAATTTTGAATTCTTTCTTTAGTTTTGCATCACAATAGAATGGCTTCTTTTGTATGATTCATTTCATGTAGACATTTAGTTATGCTTGACAGGTACAGAGGCAATACAGTGTAACATATATTGCTTCATCATCTTAATTTTTCATTTATATATCATTATATCTGCTGAAGATTTGCTAACTAGACTGAATTTTAGGTGTTGTTAACTACATTGTTAACATTTTGAAATTTGTTCTACCATCATTTTGTCTAAAGTTTCTTCTTTGTTTTCCCCCCACCTTTTATCTGTTCTTAATTATGTCATGGCAGAATTCTGGAGTTCAGTAAAAATTGGTGGTGCATATTAGCCAACCCCCAACCCCATTTTGTGCTGGTTGTATTTCCCAGCTAACTTTTGTGCCTTTATCTATTCATAGATACACTTCCTGAACTGAATGAGAGATTTCAATGGCTTTGAAGACCACAACTACTGCTTCTTTCTGTTCCATCCATTCTGTCTTCCTCTCCTTCTTAATCCTCTGTTCTCTCTCCGTCTTTTTCTTTTTCTTCACCAGTTCAACCCCATCACTACATCTTCAAAATCTCCTTTAAGAATTTATTGTTACACCAGGGGTGTTGAAACTATTTTATGCTCCGAAACTCTAAAAAGTTCATCCAAAAATTTATAAATGGGTATTAAAAATGCATTTTAAGAAATGTAGCACACCTTACCCAAATGCGACTATCAGTGTTACCCAACTGACAAAGTTTTTTGCATATCCGCCTAATGTGCCCCATGTGTCCCTTCCGGGGTGCTTGTTTTCTAGCAACAGGTTTAGTAGGCTGGACCAATAATGATAACAAATGAATTGTCAGCAAAATGGAGTGTCGAAGAATGTGTAATGGTGTGTGCATGGGGATAGTTCTGGTGTGTTTTACATATATAATTGGTATTGTGTTTATTCATTAATCTTTTTGTAATGCGTTTGTCTCGTTCTGTGAGTTATTTTTGCTAGTGGTTAGCTGTATTTTTCGTTTTTTTTTTGTTGTTGTTGTTGCAGCTAAAAAATCAAAGGCCGCCCATTCAGATGTTGGCCCTTTTGGGGTTTCTGATGATGATAGTGACTTTGTGTCGCCTCCTTGCGCGCTCCTTTCTAGATTGCAACAAGAACCTCTGTGGGATTCCCCTAATTATGAACTATCCGGGGAGGATGATGCTATGTATCCTCGGGCGAAGATGAAGGCACAAACTGTCATAGTGGTAAACGCATTGAAGGATTTGAGTAATATGCAAAAGGCTGACATTTGTGATCTTGGTTTTGGTGCTTTGCTGGAGTTCGATGTTGAGGAGGTTCTACCGTGCCTTCTGCAAAAGCTTTTCTTTTTTATTTTTGTGAACACTATAGTCATTTTAGCGTCAACTCGGGGGATATTTATCTAGCTTCTATTTTTTGCTGATAGTAGTCAGTTTCTCCCACATTGTTTGG